CACAGGACAATCCTATTTCGGAATTTTCTTGGTACACTTGGACCTATTATTGATTTTCGTTCTAGAAGCTTCAGATTAAATGCAAGTTTCAGATCACATTTGGTTACGATGATCGTACGCTTATAAACAAAAACACATCACTTTCATCATTCAATGTTCACCAGATTTATTTGTTTTCTTTTTTTTTTTTTTGTTTTTTTACAAACAAGATAGCAAACAATTTATTGTTGGTACTAAATCTTTATTTTGGTTATTTTTGTTTTAAAAAAACAACCCAAAATTTTCAATTCGGCTTTTACAAAAATAAAAATTTACTTTTTTAAAAATTTCATAACTTATATATTTTTCTTTTTCGATTAATTTATTTGGTGTATATACGATTTAACCTAAAATAATATTCATATTACTTTAATGAGATTGAAATAATGCAAGATTAATTAACATTGTAATAATGAATGATATAGCGAATTACCATCAACATTGCAAAATTTTATACTCCTATAATTCCGGCCAGAATGAAACCTTCCATCTTACTAGGTTAACAAAGAATGTAACCAAGGCTTCGAAAGAAGAATTAGGGAAGAAAAAAAGAGCAAAGAATTATTTATTTATTTTGTAGTGCATTCTTCTAATCAATTAATTGATTGTATTGATCTTTGCATTCAAGTTATTTGCATACATGTCTCATAGCTTTGGCACTTAAACTTCCAAGAAATCCAACAAACACAGCATAATCAGTAATACTCTTGACATACCCTGGATAAACATTACCAATTAATAGTTCTTCAATAGAAGAAGGTAACTGACTCTTTTTTGCTGCTTCAATTAATAAAGGTTTGTGACTAACAGTTACAAACCTTTTTTCCTCATTTTTAGAAATAATTAGAAGATCATTCAAAACATCTCCTTTTTTTAAACATTTAATCATATTAGAAAGATGTGAAGGTGTCAAATGATCTGATAAATGACCATTTCTTAAGCTTGCTCGAATTTGTGATGGTTGAAGTGATATTGTTATTGAGTCTTGACTAATTTGGATTATTTCACCATTGGATAACTTTTCAATAAATCATATATAAGTATTTGAAAAAAAAATAGATTATATTAAAACATATATGAGAGTTTACAAACCTCGCCTATTTTGACCTCATTCAAATCAACATCCATTGCATAAGTGGATTTTTTATTAGAAATAAGTTTATCTGTTTTG